ATCTCAACATATAAACATTGTAGTGTTAAGTTTGTAATATAAATAGGTGTAATGCATTTGATAGTACATCTTTGCCAACTCAACCTGGTTCTAAAATGTACCCTTCAGAAAATCTGTTTTGCAGGAAGTGCAACAATAGAGAGAGGAATTAGAACAATGGGCTCAATCAGGACACAGATTGAAGAATAGTGTGGGCTAGGACAAGGTTCAGATTTGTTGGTTATAAGGTCACTATGAATCATAGTTAACTCGATAATACCTAGCAAGAAAATAGAGAAATAAAATTTAAGGTTATTCTGGGGAAATTTTATCTATATCTACCAAAATAACTTTTGGATTCTGGAATAAAATTATAATTCATCTATTTCTGGTATCCATAAAATACGTATTTACTTGTCATAAGTTAAAGCTAAACTTAAATGTCCTTAATATCTGTATTTGCATATGTATATTGTCATGATTTATTTGTAAGATTAAATTTGGTTTATGATATGTGTAAATTACAGATTCCTGAACCAACATCATATTTCTTAAAAAAGAATATGATGCTGGTGTTTAGCATGATATTTGTTTATTTCTACTTCATCTTGTTTTAGAAAACATTTAGAAGTCTAAAGTGAGTTTTAGACTCATAAATGCTACTTCCAAGAAGTCTTAAGTGTTTGTATCGCCATATCTGAGATCTTTATTTTCTAATTTCATTGACATTTAACTTTTAGGTATTCAGAGGATGACTACCTTCAGATTATCACAAACGTACGGAACTGTCCTTGGAAACGACAAGCAGAAGAATATGAAAATTTTAGGTAAAAAACATCCGTAAATAATTTGAGATAAAAATACTAAATGTATTTGCTTTGTAAGGACAATAGACATTGTGCTGTTTAAAGAAAAGTCAAAGGGATAACCTGGTGTTCAGGATGATTTAATTCTGAAATCCTATCTTCCGAGTCATGTGTTTTATACTACTTAACCTTACTCAGTCTCCCACTGTATTGAAAGCTTTAGTATAGTAATTGGTATTATATTAAAAACAAACTCAAACTCACTGCTGTTCATCGACTCCCAGATGACCCTCCAGGTAGTTTTTAGAGGCTGTAAATCTCATGGGAGGAGATTGCCCATCTATCTACCAAGGAATTGTTGATGGATTTGAACTGCCACAAAGTCACCAGGAGTTAACAGCATAACTCCTTAGAGACTATGCCACCAGAACACCATATTATATTATATTAGTAGAATTAAATTTTAAAGTTCTTAATTTGAAAAAAAAAATTGTTGGATGGCTTACGAAGCTTATGGATATTGTATCTTCTTTTTTGTACCATTTATATCATTATGTGCTGCGTGTGAGAGATGGTAAATAGATTGGTTGTGTTTAGCTGCTAACTTGAAAAGTTAGCAAAGTTCAAACCCACTGGTGTATGGGAGTGTAGTGGAAGAAGGGCTTGGTTCTTTGCTTGTAACAAAGATTATAGCCTAGAAAATAATTTTGCACTGTCGTATGGGTCAGTGATTAGGACTCAGCTTGATGAAACCCAACAAAAGCCCAATGGAGCACAGTTCTAGTCTGATAGACATCAAATCTCGATGAATTAGAATGAACTTGGTAGTGATGGTGGTATTTGACATATGCCTGGATGCAGGATTTTGTACAATATCATTAAGTATCTTTCTTAATTGTGACATTTCAGAATGAGAGGTGAGAAAAGGATGCCTGTTCCCCAAGTTCATTTCCAGTTTTTTCATGTTACATAAATCTACTCAAGACTAGATTTGGGTGATTCCAGTGACAGGAAGACCAGACAGGATATTGCTCAGATAATGGTGAATTAAAGGACAAATAAAAAAAGGCAGAGGAAGATGTTGAAGAACTGAGGTTCAATCCATGATGATTAGCTAGAAAGATTTTCTAAGTAGTGACAGTTTTTGGTTCAAGCACAAACCATGTACACCACCTGGGGCCTTTTAAAAAGAAACATGTTCTTTATTATTTTTTTTTATTTTGTCCTTTTTTCTCATACCTTTCTTCCTTCTTTTTCTTCTTCTCTTCCACCTTTCCTTTAAAAAAATCAGTAATCTTTCAAATTTAAACCTTGTAGAGTCAGTATTGCAGATTTTAGCAAACGGAAATGTATAGATTCATTGTATACAGACAGAAAGCCCATTTTTACTTAATGTCCTCTCAGTATAAAAAGTGCTGGAGAGCACTAAGCTAAGTGAACAAACTCTGTCCCATAAGAACAAATACTGTATAAGACCATTATTGTAGAACGTGCATGAGGATCCAAGGGGGAAAGGAGGGGAACAGAGGGGTGAAGATGGGGGGAGAGGATTAATGATAGGGTCGCACAATTTAATGGGTGGAGGGGAGGGTGGGTAAAGGAAAGAGGAAAGATCCAGTGTGAAAAACAATATATGTGAACTTTGTAATTAAACCAATATAAAATAAAAATTTTCATTTTTTTTTAAGTGCATCATTAGCCATGCCAATTACTCGGTAGCCTATTAATCACATCAGGGCCAGTTTAAGTAAACATGGGTCTATAATATGTATTGGGTTCTGTCATTCAAAAGGGTAGTCATAGTGGTATTTATTTATTTCCTTACATATGTATTCTCTTGTAATGGCCTTTGCTTCTAATGCTCTTTGGAAGTAAGTATGGTGAGACTTGGTCTTGTATACTTGGAGATTATTACTAGGAAAGCTGGTCCCTGGAGAATGACATAATTCTTGGGAAGGTAGAGGACTGGCAAACAAAAGGAAGACTCTCTGTTAAATGGACTGGCCCGGTGACTGCAACAATGCGTACAGCACAGCAGGGACTGTGACATGGTGCAGGATTGGGCAGGGTTTCATTCTGTTGTGTATCAGGTCACTAAATTAGAGCTGGCTCAACAACATTTAACAACAATAACAACACCATTCTTCTTAGGGCACTTTTGTGAACTAAGTTATATAAACCCTGCACAGATGTCTATGCAATTAAATTATAACAAACAATGCACTTCCCTAAATATTTACTAACAGAGCTTGCCAAATCTGGGAAGTCTCTGGTTTATTTATAAACCTGGCATTATAAAAATGTTCCCTATTATTATGGTTGTCAAAAGCTAAATAGTTTTCTGTTCCGTTTATTTATAGTATTCTATACAAAACTGAAGACAAAGCGCAATATAAACCTTTTTTATATAAAAGGTGGTAATATTCTTTTAGCAGCAATTAGGAAAACTAATTCCTAAAGAATATAAACATGGACATACATTCTAAATGGATAATGCAACCTGATTCATCTGCAGCCCCTGACATCTGGGTGTTATTGAAAATTCTGTAACTCCTGTGGTCACATGATTTAAAAATAGCTCTTTAAAAAGGTGCTTTTCTTAAATATGCTAATTGATGGTGAAGGAGGCTGAATGTATTCACCGTCATCTATCTGCAGAAGATTTACTGTGTTCATGGCACTCTCAGTGCCAAGCCCAGTGTCTGGTGCAAAGTAGAAATATGATAAATATATGTGAGAAAAATGGGTGCAGGGTAAAAAAGAAAAAGAAATGCAAGAGGTTTTGAACTTTTTGTTTTTGCTTTCTTGACCTTGAAGAACTCATAGTTTGGAAAGACTAGAAATAGGGATATGAATATTTATGAGTTATTGTCAAAATGAATGATTTCATCAAATACTGGAAGATCATTGTGGGATGTAGTTTTTTGAAATGGTTTTTAGGAAAAAGCTTTGCTGTAGATATCAGGAATCCTGTAGTGCTACTATAGGAAACAACACAATGAATTTACTTTTCAGAGACTAGGTTGTTAGAAGGAGCCCTAGTAGTGCAGTGGTTGAAGCATTTGGCTTCTGAGCAACACGTAAATGGTTCAAACCTGACAGCCGCTTCTTGGGAGAAAGATGTGTGCAAAGATTTACCACCTTGGGTACCCTCTGAGAAGTTCTGCTCTGTCCTTGAAAACTCAACTAACTGCCGGTAATTCACTTCTCACTTAATGTCTCTCCAGGTTTCTGAGGTTGTAAATTTTAATGGGGACGGATTTTCCATCTTCTTCCCTTGTAATCACTGGTGGATTTGAACTGCCAGAGGCACGTGATGTTTGGTTAGTGGTACAACACGCTACAGACTATGCCACTAGTGCACCTTACCCTGTGTCCTGGATGGTTGCTGTGAGCATGAGTCTGTTTAGTGGCAGTGGGTTTTAGACTTTTTAGTTATTTCTCATCATGACATTGACACATGTCTTATGATGGCCCCATGAAGCGACAGAGCAAATGCTACCTAATCTTGGACCATTTCCCAAATCATTTGCACCTTAAACAGTTGAAATCCACAGGATTTTCACGGGCTAATTTTTCAAAGTAGACCACCAATCCTTTCTTCCTAGGGCAAGTATGCTGTCAGCTTGTTACATAATTGAGATCTTAGGAAGGAATAAATAGGCTGATGGCAGAATATTCTGGGGATGGTTGTAGATAGTATAATGAACAAAATACTAAAGGGTGATGAAGACCTAAGACTTTGACAGTAACTATGAAAACATTAAGGAAAGGATTCCTGACCATCACTGAGTTTCTTGGAGGCCTGGTGTTTCTATTTATCTTCTCTTCTCTATTGGCTAGCTATGGATGATGCCCAGTAAATAGTTGTAATGAGTGAAGAACTGGCAGGAATCGATTGCATATTAGCTCCCAGCTTTCTTATTGAAGCAGAGGAAAAGTAAAGAGTCAGCAACAAATGAGAAATTTTGGATCTGATTACTTGGGCTAATAGCAGTACTACTGGTAAATAGAAGACTTTCAAAGGGAATTTGATGTTAAGAAGATAAATCCCATTTTGGTCTGACTGTGTTTGAGTTGACATCGAATTACCAGATGCAGGCAGCCATTGCTAAGAGAAAATATCCTCTTCCAAAAAAAGAAAAGCCACTGCAATTTAAAACTGGCTAGGTAATAAACTATTTACTGCAGAAGGTCAAGGACTGCAGCCTTAAATATGGATTGAAGCTCAACATCAAGAAAACAAAGATACTCACCACTGGACTAATTGGCAGGATCATGATTGATGGTAAAGAGATTGAGATTATTAACAATTTCAGCCTGATTGGAACCACAATCAACACTCTTGGTACCAGCAGCCAGGAAATCAAACGTCTAATTGCCTTGGGTAAATCTATTGTAAGAGACCTCTCCAGAGGACTGAAGAGCAATATTGTCAGTCTAAAAACTGATACAGGCCATAGAATTCACAATTTCTTGCTGTGACTAAGGATGATAGAAAAATAATTGATGCCTTTGAGTTGTGGTACTGAAAAGGAATATTGATTAAACCATGGACTGCAAAGAGAACAAACAGGTCTGTCCTGGAGAGAGTGAAGCCAAGCTGCTCCTTGGATGCAAGGATTTTGAAGCTTTGTCTCACATACTTTGTTCCCTTTGCCAGGAGGAACCAGTTCTTGGAGAAAGACATCATGCTTGGAAGGATGGAAGGACAGAACAGAGAGGAATAAATATCCTGGGTGCAATGGATTGACCAAGTAACTGGGGTAATGGGAGTAGATGTGTCAGAGAAAATGAAATTGGCTCAAGATAGAACAGGATTCAGAACTGTTGTACATTGGGTTGCTGTGAGTCACAAGCAACTCACAGCACATCACAACAACAACAACAACAGTGTAATAAAATAAGCACTAGTGGCCTAGTGGCAAGAAGCTGAGCTATAATCCCCAAAACACACAGTTCGAATCCATCAGCTGCTTCATGGCAGATGGATGGGCTATCTTCTCCAGGGCAATTAAACT